GAATGCCCCTGAGAAATAACCTAACGTCTTTATGAGTAGTCAGGGTTTCTCAGGACCCTGTGGTAAGTAAGGCTGCTCTAAGCTGAGAGGCCAAAGTGTTCCAGAATGAGAACAAGTGCTGCGTTCTCTCTGGTTCAGAGTAGTCGGGAACACCACACCTCTAGTAGGGGATACGTTAGGCAAAGGAAGCTCTACAACTTGTTATCCCCCAGAATTAAACCGATAAATAAGCACAGATGCAGTTAAGCATCACCCTAGAACTAAAGGCTGGGCTGAGTTTTTTGTTTTGTTTTTTGCGGTACGCGGGCCTCTCACTGTTGCGGCCTCTCCCGTTGCGGAGCACAGGCTCCGGACGCGCAGGCTCAGCGGCCATGGCTCGCGAGCCCAGCCGCTCCGCAGCATGTGGGATCCTCCCGGACCAGGGCACGAACCCGTGCATCGGCAGGCGGACTCTCAACCACTGCGCCACCAGGGAAGCCCTGGGCTGAGTTTTATTGCCCCATTTCTACTTCTGTTTGTTCTAGGAAAATGCCTGCTGATAAGGGAGACCCTTTTTGGGAGAATGATGGACCAGAAATGGGGTGGGGAGGGCAGGTAGAGAGCCCTCAAAAGCCAGTAGGAATTTGGCAGTTCAAACACAACAATGAGGCATATTTGCAGCCTGCTGATTTTCTCTAATTTTTTTTCCTGCAATAGCCTATTCCACGACTCTTCTTTGCTGGAGAACATACAATCCGTAACTACCCAGCCACGGTCCATGGTGCTCTGCTGAGTGGGCTGAGAGAAGCAGGAAGGATTGCAGACCAGTTCTTGGGGGCCATGTATACCCTGCCTCGCCAGGCCACACCAGGCGTCCCTGCACAGCAGTCCCCGAGCATGTGAGATGGATGTGTTCTAAGGGAAGAGGCCGATGTGTTTGTGTCTTTTGCTGCATAAGCAAAGCTCTTCTAGCAATATTAGATTCTACTGAGAAACTCACCCTGGCATCTGGGCTCCAGATCAACTGCTAGAGCTTCTGGTGGTCAGGTGGCCAAGGAGGTTGCCGCCTTTAAGTGACTTAGAGCTAGGGAGGCACTTGTCCCACTTAGTGTGGGAGTCTGTGTTCTTCGTTAGGACTGAGGCAAGCAAGTGCTGCGAGAGAACATCTTAGTTAGTCTCTTTGTGTGTGGTGGTTTTTTATATTTTGAGAATAAAACTTCATAGAAAATTAGTCTTATCTTTTTGTTTCCCCTTAGGTTTCGAGTTATATATAAGGCAGGGGTGTTACTCCTTTGAAAATGCCAGTTTTTATCCATGTTTAAATAAAGAGGATGTTTATATAAAGGAGAAGATGGTTTGGTCTGGTCAGAAGACAGGATTGAGGGGCGTTCCCATAGAAGCAAAGGGTTTCCTGGTCTGTGGGGCTAGACTTCCCCATTGGGATTGTGGGGTGACCGTGTGCCAGGGGTAGGAAGCTGCAGGTCAAGCATATGGATATTGGGAAACTGAATGAATTTTCAAGATAAGACACAAGCCTTGATACAAAGTTTGGGTGGGCCTCTGGCAGACCATCCTGGCTTTATTCCCCTAGATTCCCTCCATGGGTATGTGCTAACTTTCCACTTCTGTCCAAGGTACTGATATAAAAGTTTAAGGAGATCAAGGGTTTAGGTAACAGAGTGGAAATTTTCTGTTGCTGCTGTAACAAATTATCATAGCAGACTCTGAAGGAAGATTCCATTTCCTTGCCTCTTTCAGATTCTAGTGACTGTATTCCTTGGCTTGTGGCCCCTTCCTCCATCTTAAAAGCACATTACTCCAATCCGTGCTTCCATCATCACCTTCTCTTGTTCTGTAGTCAGATCTTATCTCCCTCTTACAAGGATACTAGTGATTTCATTTAAGATCTCTCTCCCACCTCAAAATCCTTAATCACATTTGCAAAGTCGTTTCTGCCACGTAAGACTAAAACGTTTTTACAAAAAGGGAACAAAATGCCTTTTTCTTCCAAAGGGTTCCTAACAGACTATGTTACTGTAAGTTATGTACATAATCTGCTTCTGGAAGTTGGATTTTACTCCTGTTAGTCAATTCTTCCCTATAATTAGTTTAAATGAGGTTTTATTCTTAGTAAGATTTAAGGGACGTTACATTGGTGATCTGACTGGAAGATGAAGATGGAGAGGGCTTTTTCCCTCGTCCTGGAATGAGTGACAACCATGGGAAAAATTTGCACACCAGGATCAGGGCAAGTGGTGTAACTATGATGTAAAGGTGAGAAGAGCATGTAGTAGAAAGTATATTGACTTTGGACCACAACCTATATTTGAATCCTAGCTTTCCCATGAATATTGTTACCTCAGGAGGTTAGGGTGTCTGATCCAGTGGTATGTGGTCTTTGAAGAGTTTTTGTTTTTTAAATAAACAACGTAGGCAGCTTGGGAGACGACACAGATGATTGTTTTGTGTGTGTGTGTGTGATGAGAGAAGAGCCTAAAAGTAAAATGTAGCAATGAAATAACTGCTATATGATTTTAAGTCCAGTTACATGAGTCTGAGGAAATGTCCTTTCCCAAGCCTCAGCTATGTTTCCAGTCCTTATGGCATCAGTAATTGGCTGGGTATTTTCAGTAAATGTAAATGAAATATACTAGCTGCACCAGTGCACAGCAACAGCTGTACACAGAGATGACATCAAGAAAAATGGCATCACTGACTCACACTCACACAAAGCACATGGAAACTAGGGAGCTTTATTGGTTACATATTGTGCTGCAGAGCCAACAGAGACAGCATTAGAGCCAGAGGATACATGCAGACAGGCAGCTTCAACTATACACATGCACCCAAGGAGCCCTGAGTCACTGCTCATGGCTTCGCCCTGGTTTCCAGCGACAGGGTCTGGCCTCCTTGGTCCCACTCTTGGAGCAGGAATTTAGGAGAAGCTGCTGCACCTAGACTCCAAGGGGCAGGGGAGAGACCAGAGCACCTGCCTGAGCAAGTAGGTGTGGACCGACAGATACTGATGTGTCCCCTAGCAAGGGGGCCTATAATGTAATAACAGTTTATTTGAGGGCTACTTCCCTAGCCCTCCGAATCTCTAAAATACAATTTTAAAAAAAAAAAAAAAAAAAAAAAAAAAAAAAAAATAGACTTTATTCTCTTAAAAATACATTCCATTCAGTACATGTTCTGAGCTGTGAAGCAGCAGGAAAGTAGGGCCCCTTTCCTATATGATCTTGGTTGTGAGGCTTTGAGGAGAACCCTGTTGTTCTCCACCCTGGGGTATTTAAAAGGTAATCCCTAAAAGCAGCTCTTCCAAAGCAGTCTTGTCAGAGTAACGATAAACCCACACCAACAAAGGCAGCTGGGGACCCAGGGGCAGGGTCCCTAATTCCTTTACTGGGAAGCGATAGCACATGGCACTAACCCACTAAATATAAAGAACTAAAACTGCCCCAGGATGGCAAGTCCTAGACCAACACAGACGCTCCCACACCCCACGAGGGTGATAGCGTCACGTGCAGGCGTGCCTGTGGCCGAGGCTGGAATTCTGGGCTCCACTGCAAATCCCTGTGGCCCACCGGGGAACTGTTTCCTTGCTACACAAAAGCAGAAACAGCCGCGACTTCTCTGCCCCCCGTCCCTGCAGCTTTCTCTGGCGGTTTCTAGTAGCAGAGTGGTGAGAGACAGGCGGGGGCAGGTGGAGGAGACCAGCTCCTAGCACTGAGCCAGCTCTCCTTTCTCCAAGCAAGCAGCTCTGGAGTGCCAGCTTCCCAGACCTTACTGGGAACCCTCCCACACACCATACACCTGCCAGTAAAATTCCGAGTTAGAGCCAAGCTGCAGAAGAGGCTGGTCATAAAAGTGGGTTTGTTGGCTGGGAAAGAGGGAATATTTGGCTTGATTAGACAACTATTCAACCACCAGGTCTCCCATTTGGAAGTTTCCTCCAGGACCCCTGATGGTGAGGCCTGGGTCCAGACGGTCACACCTAGGTTGCTTTTCAGAAACAGGCCTTCCAACTTTGGAATTTGACAGCCAGCCTTGCCAGCCATTTGAAGCCCAGAGGAACTGAGCCTCTAGCGTTCACTTGCTATTACAAATATATTTTCTGCAATGCTGCGGACATTTAAAAATAAAATCTATTTTACAGCGGCTCTAGAAAGTGTGCAGATTAAGGAAACAAAATATTTATCCTGAAGTAACTGTTACAATCAAACCCTATTGCACTCAGATTTTAAGACAGCAGCCCCAGCAAAAGGGCACCATAGCTGTCCCTCTTCCACAGAGCATTCTGGGTGGTGGCAGATGTTGGTGCTGCTAAAATGTGGAAAGATCCAGACTTTGGCACCAGGAGCTACAGCACCAGAATCCAGGGCTCCAATGCCCAAAAAGACAAGAATTACTGGCGAGATCTTTGTAGGCATCGTTTGGCGCCCTTCTGTTTCCACCAGCAACGAACCACAGACCTAATTTCCTATAGCCTCAGTTGACCGCCACAGGGGTCTGTTTCCTTTGGACTCTCAGGGTTGACAACCAGTTAAGAAGAATGGCAGGGAGGCTACAAGTGAGAGGTTGCAGCCTTGAGCCAATGACCCAGGAAAAGCAGCAGGAAGAGATTTTGAAAACAGCATCTTGAGTATCTGAGGCAGCAATGTGAAGAAAAGGCAAGCCACGTGACAAATGCCCTTAGATTTTGGCAAAACTCCAGAAAATGGAAGTATAAGCAAAACACTCCTGTCCCTGAAAGTCAAGTAGGTGCTCCCCAAGCCTCCTCCTCCAGGATCGCCAAATGTGATGCAGACAAGGGAGGGGCAAACGCTGGTTCCCACCCTGAGCGGAGGCAGAGAAGATTTAAGAAGCACTGGAACAGGAGATACACACCTTGTGCTGTGGAAAGCACATGGCCTGCTGTGTGGCACTGGGCAAGGTTGGTGTTGAAAGGGGCTGCAGAGACCATCTAACCTCACCCTTTCACTTCATAAACTGGAAAAGTGAGGCCAAGGGAACTTCTCTGAGTTCATCCTCATGACATTAAAACATGGGGAACTGGAAAGAATAAGGCCCAGAAAAACAAAGGCCATGGGAAGGACACATGTAAACCCATTTGGACAATACCTTCCACGATTAAGAATCACCCCCCCACAGGGAGGAAGCAAAAATCTTAGAATGCCAGATTTAGGATCCTTAGAGACCATCCATTTCAAAGAACTCATTTTATAGATAGGGAAACTGAGGCCCCAAGAGGACAGTGACTTGCCCAAGGTCACATAGCAAGGAAGTATAAAGCCATGAAGAAAATTCAGCTTTCCTGACTTCCACTCTAATGCTCTTTCACTATGAAGGAACAGTGTCTGCTTCATAAAGGTAGCCTTTGAAAGGGGATCCCTTCTTTGAACTGAGAGAATGCTATATATAGAAGAAGCAGTGCCAAGAATGTACGGTTCTTTCCCCACGTGATTGGTATAAGGAATCTAATCAATTTTTATGTGGCTTCCTGAAAGGTTTGCTGCATTTTGAATTGTATGAATCTAGGGCCCTTGATGGGCACGTATTACCTTTCCTCCAATGAAGTCATCATAATGATAGTTGGTTTGCAGAAATCATGGGCCCACTTCTGTAGGAATGCATCAGCTTGGTAAAGTGCGATACCTCCTCCACGGGGGATGAGGAGGAGGAACAAAGTCCATGCCTTTCATGGAGCCATTGCTTTGTGGAGTGACTAAGGGGAAATCGCTTCTTCCTGCCTACTTTCCCCCATGCTGGCGCTTCCTAGAAGGCAGAGTATGCTGGGTCAGGCCCAGGTTAGTCTGGGAGTATTCCAAAGGAGAAAACAACAAGTCAGCCTGAAGTCTCCAGCCACAGGAGAGGAGCAGGCAAGGCCAGCAGCATGTTGGCGCCCAGGGAAGGAGATGCATGAGGCTCGTGCACTTCCAGGTGCCTTTGGAAGGTGAACAGAGAGC